TTATAAGCAAATAATAGCCCTTGAATATGCTAGTACAATTTTGTACTCAAAAGATACTCTCATCATTCGTAAAAGAGATCTGTGGAGTTACATACTACGTTCAGAAATGCTATCGAAGGGGCGCCTGGGTGGCTCAGTCATGTAAGCGTCTGACTCTTGACCTCAGCTCAGGTCATGATCTTACAGTTCGTGAGCTTGAGCCCCGCATGGAGCCCTGCGCTGACAGGGCAGAGCCTGCTTGGGATTCTGTCTCTCCTTCTGTCTGCCCCTCCCCTGCTTGTACTTGCTCTTTCTTTCTCTCAAACTAAATAAACTTAAAAAACAAAACAAAAACGCTATCGAAAAGCAGAATGTGTCTGTGAAGCCCCCATATAGTGGGTATTTGGTATACACCAGATGCTGTGTTAAACATTTTGTACACATGATCTGAATTACCTGGAGTATGTAGCCGTAGAGATATTTTACAGATGAGGCTCACCGTTAATCACTTGTCACAAATCCCACAGCTATAAATGACAAACCTCAGGAATCCAAAGCAAAAAACCCACACCAACCACTACTACTCCGTCCACGTGTTCCAGAGAATCAAACAGGCAGTAAAAACTGAGAATCCCCGCAAATATAAGACAAGTATCTTTGCCCAACAGGGAAACACCCCAATTTAATATGCTCTTTCCCCCAAACCTAGAAACGACTACTAGATCACTGTTCAGACATGTACTACAACGTACAACATTTTTAAAATGTTTTGGGGGGCGCCTGGGTGACTCAGTCAATAAAGCATCTCATGATCTCGTGGTTTATGAGTTCGAGCCCTGCGTCGGGCTCTGTGCTGACAGCTCGGAGCCTGGAGCCTGCTTCGGATTCTGTGTCTCCCTTTCTCTCTCTGCCCTTCCCCTGCTCACGCTCTGTCTCTGTCTCTCAAAAATAAATAAACGTTAAAAAAAATTTTTTTTAATGTTTTGACATTTCCCTATCAACAGTTTTAGGGCATGTCAGGTACACTTAAGAAGAAATCTAATGTCACATGTTAGGGGTGCCTTGCTGGCTCAGTAGGAACAGAGTCTTGATCTCAGGGTTGTGAGTTCGAACCCCACGTTGGGTGCAGGGATTACTAAAAAAATAAAAACTTTAAAAAAATAAGTCACTTATTTAAAAGTCACTTATTTAAAAAAATAAGTTATGAGCAGAACCGGCAACCCAAGAAGTTTTACCAGGAAAACCATTTCTGGGATTTTGCCCAGAATATTGCCATATAGTCAGATGAGCTTTGCTTAAAAATGGAAGGGCAAAAGAATCAAAAGGGGAGGGACCAGATTAAGGTCTTACAAAGCCCCTTAAAACGCTCACATTTTACCAAATATTGAATCCACTCACCATATACAATAAAAGTTCAATTCATAAGCGATTTTGCAAGAAAGTATCTTCTGCAAAGAATAAGGTACATCTACACCTTGTAACTCAATCATTAAAAAAAACAAAACCTTGCTTTGCTTAAGAGTCAAGGTGTTATAAAATGAACATCTGGAAAAGATACTAATTTTTATGGACATATCATTCCAAAAATACTTTTTCTAGTTTCAAGTTGGCAAAGTCCTATCTGCCTCTTTCTCGTGAAAAATCATCTCCCCCCACCAAACACCCCAAAACAAAAATACATGGGAAGTGAGAAGCCAACTCTAATTTCAGTGCAACCAGGACACATGTTAACTATTGTGACGTATGAGCAAATAAAGAAATGGCAAGTAAATGACCCCATGGAGGAAGCTCAAATCTGAAAGCTTGCACAGGGAGAAGCCCGTGACCTGCAAGCCAATTTGTCCACACAGATCCCCAGACAGGTTCTAGAACTTCAGAGACCGTGTGCGTCAAGACATAAGAGAATCACCAGGCTGGAAACCAGATTTTCAAGGTGCTGGGATCCAGCAGTGATAAAAACTGGACAGTTTCATGAGCTCGATCCAGGTTCGTGAGTTCAAGCCCCGCATAGGGCTCTGTGCTGACAGCTCAGAGCCTGGAGCCTGCTTTGGATTCTGTGTCTCCCTCTCTCTTTGCCCCTCCCCAGCTCGCACTGTCTCTCTCCCCCTCAAAATAAATATGAAAAAAAATTTTTTTTTAATTAAAAAAAAAAACAACTGGATACAGGGGCACCTGTGTAGTTCAGTTGGTTAAACTTGTGACTACAGCTCAGGTCATGATATCAAGGTTCCTGAGTTGGAGCCCTGCCATCGGGCTCTGTGCTGACAGCTCGGAGCCTGGAGCCTGCTTCTGATTCTGTATCTCCCTCTCTCTCTGCCTCTCCCCTGCTCAAGCCCGGTCTTTCTCAAAATAAAACAAACATTAAAAGAATTAAAATTAAAATAAAGAGCAGTTAGGGTGACATGTGAAGAAAAGACAAAGGTGAAGGACTGTGTGGATATCTGGAACAGTAGGAATTAGCAAAAAGCTCACGCTTATTTTGCAACTGAGAAAAAGTAACAGCGGAAAGGTTTGAGATGGACATTATCAGTGCTTGCCCACATCTGCTGGTCTCCCCACCTGGGCACTTGGAGAAAACAATTTTCTCACCCCCATGACGGCCAGCACCACGCGATCCATTCTATCTAATGAAACATGAATGCAGCAAATGACGTGCTGGGGACATTAATGGCTTTAAGCTCTTTTTCTAGAAACTATGTAAACTAGCAATGTTAGAAATGATGTGCTAACAAGGTGGCATCATAAAGCATAGGGAGCCTGATCCCTGTATCGTTGGTGGACGGAAGCCATTGGTGACCTAGAAGAGATTTGGGGAGAGCAAAAAATGAATTTTGGTTAGCTCAGGGTTTATTAGAACTTAGCTATTCAACTCCTACGCGGCTGAAAGGGAGGTCTGACAGGCAGTTATTATAGTGATCAGGTGAGGTTGTGGGTGGTGGGGGAAGGTGGGAGAAAGTGGACTTTGGGTAAATTCTCAAAGTTGAGCCAAAGGGACTGCTTAAAGGTTAGTGTAGGGAATAGTTCACCACCACCCCCACCCACTTCCAGACGTAGGAGGTGGAGCTTCTAAAGAAAACTGGAGAAGTAACTGCAGGAGACCTCCCAGGTACATGGCTTTCTAAGCCTTCGTTTTTGTGCGTTGTACTATTTCAGAACATTATAAACACCCTTATTTAAGCACGCAGCACAACAGCCAATAGCCTTTTTCCCCTCAAATACATGCAGCTTCTTCCCATTTGTGCCAGCTGTTCTCCATTTAAGCCACCCCCAGAACTACCACCAGATGCCTGCTTTCCCTTCTCCGCCCCAGGAAGGTGATCCCCACTGCCTGCATCCCTAGAGAGCCCTTGCTGGGTGGCTTCCAGTAGGCTAGTCCGGTGGTCAATAGGCAGTAGCAACAGATCCAGTGAAGGAGATTTCTGACTCCCTCCCTGTCCTGGCGCCACGTCTCAGGGACCTGCTGCCTCCCATGGTGAGCCCAACTCCCACCAAGAAACCCTTCCTTAATGTCTCACTCGCCCTGACATCTAGGAACACGCTTTCCCCTTGCCCTCCTTGATCTGGAAGCACTAATGGCTTCTGGCTGTTGCTCGTCTTTCCAGGGTCTCACCATTGCTTGTTTCTTCAAGGTCACTCACATCTCAAAGTACCCCTTTCATTCACTTTCCAGCTGAACCATCCAGGGTGAATGCTGTTTCCTGCCAAAACTCTGAGCAGGTCACGATCTCAAAGCCTTCTTGTGCTCCTTGTCCTCTCTACCCAGCATGCACCTCACTCGGCTCTTTGTACGGCCAGCTCCTTAGCAGTCAGGGCTCCATCTTGTGCTGCCTCCTCAGAGGAGCCTCCCTCAGCACCGGGTCTAGCAGAGCCTCCTCCTCAAACACTCTCTAGCACCTTCCATTGCTATCACCTACCCCCTCCAGCAAACAGAGCTCCTAAGAGGAGGAACCTGGCTGGGTGGTCTGGTTCACCTGAAACCCAGTAAGCACACAGCACGATGTCTCAGAAAGCACAACTTAAAAACTTGTCCATCAGTGAAGTGGGTTCCAAATCGAACTTAACTAACTTCCATCGGGTTTGTTAAAGCAGAGGAGTCCCAAGGAGAACTTCAATTCTCAGCGTGTTAATCCCCATAAACAAGCAGGTGAAAATCCTCTAAAATGAATGCACATCTGTGGCACCTGGGTGGCTCGGTGGGTCAAGCGTCTGACTCTTGATTTCGGCTCAGGTCATGATCTCAGGGTTCGGGAGTTCAAGCCCTGTGTCGGGCTGTGCGCTGGCAGCGGGGAGCCTGCTTGGGTTGCTCTCTCTCCCTCCCTCTCTCTGCCTCTATCCTGCCTGCTCTCTCACAAAATAAACAAAAACATTGAAAAAAAATAAAACGGATGCACATCTGATAGAAAATAATTTCTTACGAGTATTCTTGTCTAGAACACTTCTCCATTTTGTGTAGCAATAGCACGATTGATCATATTCCCACATGGGACATGCTCCCGGGATCTAATCAGATGATGGACCATGGCAAAAATTTCACGGACCCAGACTGTGTTCAGTGCCCAGGAGATCGCTCCAACTCCTACTCCTTTCCCCAGAATGCAACTGTGAATATGAGGCTAAGTTATTATACACTATCACAGGACAACACGGAATTGACTTTTTTAAAAAATTAAAACCCATGAAGCATAAATACAATTCATTGTGATGCACGACTATCAGAGCCCCAAGGCCTGAGAGTATGAATGTGAACTGAAAGAACACACATATAATCAATATCTGATCTATTATGGACCAGAAAAGCAACATCAGAGAATCTGATCAGTTAGCCGAAGAAAACCAGCTTCACGTCAAACTTTTCTAATGATCCCTTCAGCAAGAATCAGGCTAGTAAGGACATGCCCAGAATAACTTTATGTAAAACCTTCGCTCTTAAGCTAATATACTCGGCAAACATCTCTTCGTGAAAGATTTGTTTCCATTTTCCACAGAAACATAAGTGAGAATTCCCAGAATGCAGTTCATAATTACACTTATTTTAATTTTTATTCAAAATGAAAGCAAACACGGAGAACAATTTCTATACAACTATACAACGTTTTAAGTGGCTTCCCTATCCTATTAAAGCTTTATATTTAAAATGCTTACATTACATGATATGTGCTTACACAAGCTTGAGGCTCAAACTTGACCACACACGTGACTCTAGCAGTCTTACTGCACAATGATCCACATAATACTGCATATTTGTTTAGTTCAGCCTATGTCGTAAAGTGCTTATTCATCGGTAGGAAGGTACAAACCTACTAAACACTCAACTTCTCCATGATACTTCCTACTCCGGGTGGGGGGGGGAAGGCCAATTTGATGCTGCCAGCCTGAATAACAGATTTCCACTTAAAAATATATATTAAAAACAAGCAAACAACAAGGAAACCAAATCAGGCCTAAGATTTTGGTGGGTCTATTAAGAGAGATCAAAAGCATTTCAAAATCATTAGCGCTACAATGTGTAACAGCTTAGTTTCTGAACACTTTGACTTCTAAAAAATAAGCAGTTTGAGTAAAAACCCTTTAAAGGACATCTTTCAAAAATGAATGTAAAATGTCAAAGTATTAATTCTTCAAATCAGAAGAACTTTTAAAAGGGTACACACAAAGTCAATTATGATTTTCATTATTATTCCTAAACTAGACTTGTAGTTCTACTGACTTTTACAGATGCTTATTGCCAAACAACAGGCCATAGAAAATATCATCCAACTGACCAGTAAGTTACTCTACATTTTAGAACATATTTAATGACATTAAAAATATTTCATGAACTTTCCAAACATGTAAACATAAACCAGGGCAATGTGATATGTAATATTGGTGCCAAAAAATGAAAATCACAGGACACAATAAGAGGGCAAAGAACAAATATGTTAAATATCAGTGCAGCTTCTCTAATATTTGTGAAAAATAAATTATTTGATACAGACGCAGGTATTTTCAGAGTAAGAAAAACTGAAGACAAATTTTCTAAAAAAAAAAAAAAAAAATTACACCAAGCAAAAAGCTGCTTGTGCTAGCCAAGAACTTAGTGTTTCCTGCAAAAACAAGAAACAAAAAACAAAAACGTTTACACACGATCAGGTATGGGCAATTACAGGTAAGCGAACTCTTAAAAATATCCTTAAAAATACAATTTGCCGTCTCAAAAGAAAAAAAAGCAGTATTCATTTTCTGGGGAATATACTCTGAATATTAGTTACGCACTTCAAAATACATAATTTCCCATTTAAATATACTACCATTTCTCTGGCCTTTATACTAACTATACCTTTGTTTTCTTGTGAAAAACATACACAAGACACAATGCTAAGTACTAATTTCTATCCATAAGGCATCTAAAAAATAGCTTCTCTTAAGACATAAACATGATACCAAATGAAAAACCAAACACAAAAGAAACATAATAATAAATAGTTTTGTATCCCTTCCCCCTCAAAAAAGAAGCATCAGTATCAGCAACACTGACTGACATAAATACATTAGATTTCCTGTTCATAAGAAAAGAAAGACAATCCAGTTACAGCGTTTCACCATTTCAGGGTCAACCAGGAGAGAGCGTCTTTACTCCCGCAGTTTGTGAAAGGCAGGATGAAGACAGGAAAGAGGCAAGACTGTTTAGGTTTTTCCGATTTAAGAAGAAACACACACAAAATACAAGTGTGGCCACAGACTACTTAGATGATGTGTAATTAGTTACGAAGGTTACCACAGAGCCGTCGTTTTGCTCCCCTTTTGCACCCTAAGTCACATCACGTGCTTCAACTACATGTCCTCTTGGTATTCTAGATATTTTGCTGTGATGGGTTCCTCAAGCTGAATTCCTCCACTGCCCATTAATGCAAATGCTGGGTACATCGTGTGCGAACAGTCCACCTGGCGCTCGTAAAGGCATTTCATGTGATCCATGTCATAGAAAGCCACTCTGCCTTTGTCATAGTCAAGGAAAATCCCTATACTTGTTGGCATCGGAAGAACTCTATTCTCAGGTTCATTGGCGGAAGTGGCTGACTTGGGTATGAAAAACTTCTTCATGCCTATGGTGACTAACGTGAAGGGCTGTGAATCAAAGCAGGCATCTTCACTTCCGCTGTCATGGCCGCTGTCTTGCTCGTATCTAGAACACAATACACGCACAAAGCAGTCTTAGCTGTGGCGCCATCCACAGGCCGTCAACTATCCTCAAAACATTTTCACAAGATAATATATGTTGCTTTATTTATTTTTTTAAGCTTACATATTTTAAGAGAGAGAGAAAGCACAAGCAGCAGAGGGGCAGAGAGAGGGGGAGAGAGAGAATCCCAAGCAGGCTCTGTGCTCAGCGTAGCGTGGAGCCTGACACAGGGCTTGAACTCATGAACCAAGAGATCATGACCTGAGCCGAAACCAAGTGTCGGACGCTTAACCGACTGAGCCACCCAAATGCCCCGACATATGTTGCTTTAAAATGAAGTTGTGGCTCAGTGGGTTAAGCCTCCGACTCTTGATTTCAGCTCAGGTCATGATGTCATGGTTCGTGGGACTGAGCCCCGTGTCAGGCTCTGTGCTGACAGTGAGGAGCTAGCATAAAACAGCAGCTTATAGAGATTTTTGATACAAACGTCCTTCCTTCATTTTCCGATGCATACTTCACTTTTTATGTATTTGTGATCATACTATATTGACGCTTTTAATCAGGTCTCACTGATATTTCTGATGTCACAAGCCTTTTAAACATTATTAATATCAGCGTCCGACTTCAGCCAGGTCACGATCTCGCGGTCCGTGAGTTCGAGCCCCGCGTCGGGCTCTGGGCTGATGGCTCAGAGCCTGGAGCATGTTTCTGATTCTGTGTCTCCCTCTCTCTCTGCCCCTCCCCCGTTCATGCTCTGTCTCTCTCTGTCCCAAAAATAAAATAAAAACGTGGAAAAAAAATTTTTTTTTAAACATTATTAATATCAATATTCTATCGAGTGGTCATGGCACCATGTTTAATTAACCATTTCCCGATTACCACAGTCACTGTTTTGTTAACTTCTCACCCTTGTGCAAAAAACTTTTCCTGTCACTCAGATTACCAATTTGGGGTTCTGTTCACACAAGAGGTCATAAATTACTTGTGTGGGCTAGTATACATAATACCACGTAAAACGACAAAACCACACAATCCCCATTAAATAATCAATCTCTTTACAAACTGGAATTCTTTGATGTGGAAACCTGTTTACCGTGACCCAATTTTGTAAAGTACCTCCAGGGGAGTTTAAAGAAATTATGTCCCATTACAAAAGAACAATTTCATACCAATTATGAGGTATGGCAGTTGGAAGCATTTCACTATACGTGTGAGTAATTTTTATCACAGAATTAAGGAAATGGATATGAAAGATGTTCAAAATTTAAAACTGTGGGGAGCTTGGGTGGCTCAGTCAGCTGAACTTTCGACTCTTGATTTCGGATCGGTCATGATCTCACAGTCGTGAGATTGAGCCCCACATCAGGCTCTGTGCTGACACTGTGCAGCCTGCTTGGGATTCTCTCTCTTTCTCTCTCTCTCTGCCTCATCTCCCCTCTCCCTCCCCCCACCCCCGCACTCTCTCTCTCTAGGAGAAAAAAGGTTTAAGAAATTTTTAAATTAAAAAAAAACCTTTTTTCATGTTTATTTTTGAGAGAGAAACAGAGTGTGAGCAGGGGAGGGGCAGAGAGAGAGGGAATCACAGAATCTGAAGCAGGCTCCAGGCTGAGCTGTCAGCACAGAGCCTGAGTTGGGGCTCGAACCCACAAACCATGAGATTATAACCTGAGCCAAAGTTGGATACTTAGCCAACTGAGCCACCCAGGTGCCCCTAAAATTTTTTTTTACTTGCAAAGCTACAGGATAGTTGAGAAGTACCCAAAACAGGCTTAGATACTTGAGATTTGTATCCCAAGACCTCCTGACTCCTTTCTGGAGCCAGCCACATCCGCACGGCCAGAACACCTGAATCTAAGGAATGTATTCCAGATGTAATAAGCAAACCCACATCAATTTCCAGTCTTACCTGGCCAAACAACGATGTGTACCTTTAACAGAATCACCAAGTTCTAGATCAATAAAAAGAGCCTACCTTGGACTAACTGCATCCCGGGGAGAATGGAGCCATTCTTGTAGTTTATCACTGGAAGCGACTCCCACTTTTACCAGGTATGAATACGGTTCCACGCGGAAGGCCCAGAAGTGCTTCCCCTTGGTAATTCCAACGTCTCCAATGATGTAGTCTAAACTGGTGTAATAACCCACTTGGATACGCTCCGCAGCAAGCAGAAGATTAAACCCAGCTCTACTCTCAACACGGTCTCTCTTCAAGTTCAGCAAGAGGCGTTCATTATTATAGCCACATTTTTCATCAAAGAGGAAACTAAAAACTGTAAAGAGAGCTTAAGATTAGTCTCATCATTAACGGTGAGCACTTCTGTAACTGACGGTTAAATAGGATCTGTTTTTGAACTAGAAATTAGTGAAAACAGACTTGAAGAGGAATGTGTCACATGACCCTAGACAAAGTATTACAAACTGAATCCCCAATTGGGAAATCACTTCCAGTAGATTCTCTATGCCTGAAAATCTCTAGGAATGTCAAACGGCAGAAAAAGTATTTCAAGTGTACGAGAAAACTTAACAAACGTGGTTCCTGGGAAGAGACACGGGAGATCTCTTCTATTTTACACTACTGGATCTGTCCCTTTTCCCTTTAATATAAGGGGATGTACTTTTTCATAATTACCTGTACAGTTTTCTAAATATTTATTCTAAATATTAGCAATTTCAGTAGGGGCTTTTCCTTATCAATCCACAGGGCAGACATGAAAAACTGTACAGTAGTTTAAAAAAAAAAAAAAAAAGGCACATGTTTTGGGTTTAGAGAGACCAGAGTTTTAATCCCTGGTGAGGCATTTTTGTTTGGTTTTGAGTGGGGTGGAGGGGCAGAGAGAGAGGAGGACAGAGGATCTGAAGCGGACTCTGTGTTGACAGTAGAGAGCCCAATGCGGGGTTTGGCTTGAACTCCCGAACTCACAAACTCAGGAACCAAACCATGAGATCAAGACCCGACCCTGAACCAACTAAGCCACCCAGGCACCCTCCAGCTGAGGCATTTAAATGGAGTTTAACTTATCCTTTGATTTCCTGACTAGAGAATGGACAGAATACCACTCTCTTAAGTCTCTATCAACTCAGATCCGTTAAGCAGAACATTGGCTCAAAAGTGGAAATGACCCAAATGGTCATCAACAGATGTACAGGTAAAGAAAACGTGGTCTATCCATACAGTGGAATATTATTCACCCTAAATAAGCAAGGAGATTCTGGTACATGCTACATCAAGGATGAAACCCCAAAGAAGCCAGGAATAGGATTATATCCATCCACTTATATGAGGTACAGGCAATTCATAGAGGCAGAACATAGAATCAAGGCTCCCAGGCTCTGTGGGGAGGGGGGATTTGTGTTTAATGGGTACAGAGTTTCAGTCTGGAAAAAATGAAAATGTTGTAGAAATACGAGTGGTAGTGGTGGTACAAAAATAGGAATGTACTTAATGCCACTGTCCACTGATGTGCACACTTAAATGTGGCTAAGATGGTAATTTTTGACTATACTATATACCATGATAAAGAAGAAACTGTGTACTAGTAAGCTAAAGCCGTTCTCCATATGTAGGCGGACCATCCTCTCTGGGAATGCCTATCGCCCTGGCCTGGTATCTTCCCGTCAATCTCAAAAGTCTCCCCATTTGCAAAATAAAAATTGTAACGGTCACCCTGGTCACCTTATTCCTAGAGGAGAGAAAGCCAACTCTGGGGATGCGTGGCTGACTCAGTTGGTGGAGCACACAACTCTTTATCTCGGGGTTGTGAGTTCGAGCCCCCACTGGGTATAGAGATTACTTAAAAATAAAATCTTAAAACACAAAGAAAAGAAAGTAAGAACTTTGAATGTGTCCTTTCTTCCTTCCCCCTCCACCAAGTCACTGAAAACCGAGCAGCTACTTCCAGATTTCTTTTTAATTCCACTTTCAGTCAGACAAGAAAAGAAAGGGGAAACTGCCTTAAATGTACAAATATTTATTTCATACTTGCAAATCCACCCTAAAACTATCAGATTTTATTCAAATTCAAGATAACCAATTTTCGCCAACCCTACTTTATTTGTATTCTACTTTTTTTTTTTTAATTAGCCACAATGTGCATGAAAAACAAGTAGTGGCTAGTACACTTTGGACAAAAAGGGAAGGAAGGACAGACTGCACAAAATATGGGCACACAAGCCACTAAAAACAGGCAGGGGCTGTGGGGTCTAAAAACCAACTGCAGGAACCTCAAAGTTCCTGCAGTTGGTTTGTGTGCCCACTATAACCAGAATGAACCCAGCACTGGTTCTCAGCGTCCCTGTTCTGTGGAGACACTGCAGGGAAACCGCTCACCTGCAGATGATTCTTTCTACAAAAATCTATGGGCACTCTGTAGGTAGCACCAGTGGTTTCAGACTTGGGAGGTGGGGGGTGGCTGGGCAAGATGAGCTTTTAATATTGAGGGGGGCAGGAATCACCAAGTTCGAGAGAACATCCAGACATGTCAGAATGAGGTTAATCAAAATATTTCATATTATGCCAATAATTTTTTTTAAATCTCCCAAGATCTATGTTATAGAGATTTCTATAAACCTATCAAAAATACAGAATTATACCATGTAAAAATTGTACGGTAGCATATTTATGCCATTTTTCATTTCAAATTAACAGCCCTCACTCAAATGTCTTCATGTTTTTCTCCATCTGATGTCAGTCCACATTCTAATCCTATTCCCAGCCTACATGGTGAAATTCAAGTATTCGTCTACTTCCAAAACCTAGCTGGGGATGGAATGGGTTTTCTAGAAAACTTTTTTTCAAACCAATGAAAACTGGTTTCAATGTAGAGCTATATAAAAATAGTGCCTAATTTATTATTTTTTAAAGTCTATTTTGAGAGAGAGAGTATGTAAAAGAGCAGAGGAGGGGCAGAGAGAGAGAGAGGGCGAGAGAGAATCCCAAGCAGGCTCCGCATGGTCAGCACAGAGCCCGACTTGGGGCTCGAACTCCTGAACTGTGAGGTTATGACCTGAGCCGAAATCAAGAGCTGGATGCTTAACCGACTGAGCCACCCAGGCACCCCTAGTTTATTTTTTATCAAGGTCTCTTCCAACTCTGTGGTTTTTTTATTCCCAGTCTTCCCAATACCTGGAGCTGGAGGGGTGTGAAGAATCAGCTCCCTGCTGCAAGGACTACAGATTGAGCCCTTGTAGGCTCTTACTCTGAAAGCATAGTTACAATTGCTTTCCAGATCGGAAACGACTTTACTCGTGCCACACACTTCTATCTCGTTCCAAGACAGCATCTCTTCATCTCTGTTAACCTTCCGATATTCAAGGACATAGCTGTCAGCTTTGTCCTTTTCTGGATGGTGCCAGTTGATCAGAGCATTGTTATACACCTTGCTCTGCTCCTCATTGATCTCTGGCACATCTACACCTGTAAGAAAGAAGAAACCAAACAGAGTTAAAATACTGTTATTTCAGAACCTATATGTTCCTCGATAAAAATCATGTATTGAAAATACTTACATCATTTCTATTTTTTTTTAATGTTTATTCAGTTTTAAGAAAGAGACAGAGCATGTGTGGGGGAGGAGCAGAGAGAGAGACACACACACACACAGAATCCGAAGCAGGCTCCAAGCTCTGAGCCATCAGCACAGAGCCCGACATGGGGCCCGAACTCAAGAACTATGACCTGAGCCAAAGTCAGAAGCTTAACCAAATGAGCCACCCAGGTGCCCCTTAAATCATTTCTGTACTAAGAGTTTTCTAAATTTGTAACACTACGTATAAGAGAAAGAATAACTCCTGTAATGTACAACAACATGGGTGGACCCTGTGGACATGCAAACTGAAATAAACCAGACACAGAAAGGCAAATACTGACGCATGATTCCACTTATGTGAGGAATCTAGAAGAGTCGAATTCATAAAATCAAAGACTGAGATTCTGGCTCCAGGGGCAGGGGAGGGACAAATGGGCAGTTATTAATCAAGAGGCATAAAGTATCAGTTACCTCAAGTATCAGTTAAGCAAGACATATAAGCTCTAAAGATCTCAGTACAACACTGTACCCAGAGTCAGCAACACTGTATTTCCACACTTAGAATTTGTTAGAACAGATCTCAAGGTAAGTGCTCTCACCACAAAATTTAAAATGAGAAAGAGGGGCACCTAGGTGGCTCAGTCAGTTGAGCGTCAGACTTTGGCTCAGGTCATGATCTCACGGTTCACGAGTTCGAGCCCTGCGTCTGGCTCTGTGCTGACAGCTCAGAGCCTGGAGCCTGCTTCTGTGTCTCCCTCTCTCTGCCCCTAACCCACTCGCATTCTGTCTCTGTCTCTCTCAAAAATAAATAAACATTAAAAAAAATTTTTTTTAATGAGAAAGAGTAATAAGCAATGAAGACTTTCAAAGGTATATTTAGGTGTGTAACTAAAAGGGAGAAAAACAAAAAAATAAGACCAAAAAAAGACTTTAGCTTTAAGCATTATATTAATTCTGAAACACCATTAAGTTTTTTAACAATATGCCTTTCAATTTCCACCTACTAAATAGTAATGCTGGGGCTCAAAATATTTAATGTGCCCTCCTGTAATTATATTTTAAAATCAGGGGTGCCTGGGTAGCTCAGTTGGTTGAGTGTCCAACTCTTGATTTTGGCCCAGGGTCGTGGGATCAAGCCCCACGATCTTAAGCATGCAGCCTGATTAAAAGTGTGTGTGTGTGTGTGTGTGTGTGTGTGTGTGTGTGTGTGTCTCCCTCCCTCCACCCTCCACCTTTGCCTCTCCCCAACTCACGCTCTCTCTCTCTCTCTGTAAACTAAAACAAAATAAAAATAAATAAATTTTATTAAAAAAATTTTTTTTAACGTTTATTTTTGAGAGACAGAGGGACAGAGTGCAAGCTGGGGAGGAGCAGAGAAAGAGGGAGACACAGAAGCAGGCTCCAGGCTCTGAGCTGTCAGCATGAAGCCTGATGCGAGACTCGAACCCACAAACTGTGAGATCACGACCTGAGCCAAAGTCAGATGCTTAGCTGACTGAGTCACCTAGGCGCCCAAAATAAATAAATTTTAAAATCTAAGTTTGGTGACTCTAACAAAATTCAATGAAACATCACACAATTTTCTTTCATATTTTCCTCCACAGAGTTGCAAGGCAATTTAAATGAATTTTTCTTGGTATAAACATGATACTAAAATTTCTTTTTTTTAATTAAAAAGAATTTTTTTAATGTTTATCTATTTTTGAGAGACAGAGACACAGAGTGTGAGCAGAAGGGGGGCAGAGGGAGAGGGAGACACAGAATCCAAAGCAGGCTCCAGGCTCTGAGCCGTCCGTACAGAGCCCGATGCGGGGCTGGAACTCACGAATGGTAAGATCAGACCTGAGCCAAAGTAAGACGCTTAACCGATTGAGCCACCCAGGTGCCCCAATACATAATATTTTCTGTAAGAACATCAGAAACTACACAAAACACACTTCAAGCAACTCCAAGATAAGCACTACAACAATTTTTTATAGATCCTGCCAGTATTTTTTTCCCACTGGCAATTCCACTGCATGGTCATGTCAACATTTAACTGTTTTCAAAAACTCAGAAACAGGTTTCTAGTTTTTCATGAAAAACACAACACAAAAGTATCTCAGCTAAATCTCTGTGCATATGCATGATCCTTTCCATACAAGGAACTCCCACAAGCTTAACTGCCCAGGGGTAAGCTATACAAGTCACACACACATACCACACATTCGTCAGAGAAGTATATGAATTGAAAATAAAAGTCTCCCTCTTGTCCTTCTCCCCAGGTATATATAAGCGATGTATAAGCATGTCTTTATAGAGTACATTTATGCAACTGTTATGTTCTATAGCCATGATGAGATCTGGAAAGTCATTCAAAATACATTTGGGGGAGGAAAAAAAAAAGCTAGTTATAAAATAACATGACGAGTATACTCCACCCCGCACACACACACACCTTTTTTTTTTTTTTTTTAAAGCAAAACAGGTGCATGCAGAGGCGCCTGGGGGGCTCAGTCAGTCGAGCATCCAAATTTGGCTCAGGTCATGATCTCACGGTTTGTGGGTTCGAGCCCTGCGTTGGGCTCTGCGCTGACAGCTCGGAGCCTGGAGCCTGCTTCAGATTCTGTGTCTCCCTCTCTTTCTGCCCCTGCCCTGTTCATGCTCTGTCTCTCTGTCTCAAAAATTGACATTAAAAATTTAAAAAAAAAGAAGAAGAAGAAACCAACTCTGTCAACACCTTGATCTTAGACTTTTAGCCTCCAGAATTGTAAGAAAATACATTTCTGTTGTTTAAGGCACGCAGCCTATGGTATATTGTCTCAGCAGTCCTAACAAACTAACATAGCAAAGTAAAGATGAAAACATCTTAGAGTCAGTTGTAGCCTGGAGACATCATTTCTAGGTTTCTGCCCTAGAGAAACTCACACACATGTGCACAAAGAACACTGATGAAGATGTTCAATACGGCACTGTTTACAACAGAGAAAAAACAAAAACAAATTGTCTCTCAGTAGGGAAATGACTTATAAAATGAAATACTATAAGCAGTTAAAATAGCTTTTTTTAATGTTTATTTATTTTGAGAGACAGAGAGTGAGCAGGGGAGAGGCAGAGAGAGAGAGCGGGAGATAGAGAATGTCAAGCAGCTTCTATACTACCAGTACAGAGCCCGACATGGGGCTTGAACTCACGAACCATGAGATCATGACCTGAACCCATATCAAGAGTCAGATGCTTAACTGACTGAGCCATCGAGGCAGCCCTAAAATATAGCTTTAAACCAGAACTTTGTGTGATAATATCTTAAACTTCACGTGTTTAAAAAAGCAATTTACAAAAAGGATACATATACAATGTAATGCCATTTATACAATGTTTAATTTTTTTTTAATGTTTCTTCATTTTTGAGTGAGAGAGAGAGAGAGAGAAAGAACACCTGAGCAGGGGAGAAGCAGAGAGAGAGGGAGACACAGAATTCCAAGCAGGCTCTAAGCTCTGAACTGTTAGCACAGAGCCCAATGTGGGGCTTGAACTCAGGAACGGTGAGATCATGACCTGAGTCAAAGTTGGATGCTTAACCAACTGAGCCACCCAGGCACCCCTATTTCTACAATGTTTAAAAAACACATGAACCAGAGCACCTGGGTGGCTTAGTCGGTTGAGCATCCGACTTCAGCTCAGGTCATGATCTCACGGTTGGTGGGTTTGAGCCCCACACAAGGCTCGCTGCTGTCAGGGTGGAGCCTGTTTCAGATCCTCTGTCCCCCTCTCTCTCTGCCCCTCTCCTGCTCACGCTCTCTCTCTCAAAAATGGATAAACTTTAAAAAAAAAAAATCTTTGGGGCGCCTGGGTGGCTCAATCGGTTAGGCGGCCGACTTCGGCTCAGGTCATGATCTCGCGGTCTGTGAGTTCGAGCCCCGCGTCGGGCTCTGTGCTGACAGCTCAGAGCCTGGAGCCTGTTTCAATTCTGTGTCTCCCTCTCTCTGACCCTCCCCCGTTCATGCTCTGTCTCTCTCTGTGTCAAAAATAAATAAACGTTAAAAAAAATTTTTTTTTAAAAAGTCTTTAAAAATAAATAAATAAAATAAAAAATAAAACACACAAACTAACAGAATATACTTTTTGTGCATAAAAACCTAGTTTTCATAATGGCAAACCGAAGCATTTGTTGTTCCCATACCTTCTGAATTCCGACTACAAGAGTAAGGCTCTGTCATCAGTAAAACTTACCACTAGAGAAGAAGGACAACTCCCCAAGAAGTTCTGTTTGTTTAGATGTATTAACAACATAGTCTTCAAAAGAAGTCTGAGCCGCAGGTCTAAAGCTCTTCAAAGATTCCGTAGCCTTCTGTATTCTGCAGACAGAGATTATTTTATATAAAAACGATTTTTTAAAAGGCCAATCAGACTACATATCTGCCATGTGATTAAAAAAAAAAAAAATACTTCCGTCAACTTTCAGGTGAGGAATGTGGCCGTGCCTTGCACAGAACACAGCACCAGGAGCCACTCGGAGCTCAAGTTGAAAGATACTGACAAGGAGATCTAAATTCAAAGCAACACACCTGAGGTGGAGTTGTTTCGCCGTCTGTACAAAACAAGACTGGTCCGTCTCCTTAAGCACTTCTTGGGCATATCCCACAAGCCCGCTGTTCTCTAGAAGCCCCTGATACTCCTCCACTTGGGTCTGAAATTTGTCTAATCGCAGTTTCTTAGAAGCGTCAATTGCTTTCAAAACAGATGATTTCCTCTCTTCTAGAATCTCATAGAGCTTTTCAAAATGTGTGATTGCTTCTTCTTTAGCTCTCTCTCCATTACACTATTATAAAACAAGCAACACGTTACCTCATCTGCTAAATCCAAATGTCTTTTCTCAAAATAACCAAAATTCAATTTTGAATGACTCTGACATTTTCAGAACAGTAATTTGGCACTGAATACACTTAGCAAGGAACAATGGCCAATTTTTATTTAGACGTACTTTGTAATTTTATAATACTGTGTTTTCCTTAAACTTTAATCTCCAAAGCTCAGCAATAAATAATTAAATAGGGAAACAACCGTCAACTTATATACAAAGGAACTTGAGGAAGAAATTAACTGATTTAACTAAAGACACAGGAGCTTTTTTTTTTTAATTTTTTTAACGTTGATTTATTTTTGAGAGAGAGAGAGAGACAGAGCATGAGTGGGGGAGGGGCAAAGAGAGAGGGAGACACAGAATCCAAAGCAGGCTCCAGGCTCTGAGCTGTCAGCACAGAGCCCAACGCGGGGCTTGAACCCACACAAACCACAAGATCATGAACTGAACCAAAGTCGGATGCTTAACCAACTGAGCCACCCAGGCACCCCCTTTTTTTTTTTTTTAATTTTTAATGTCTATTTATTTTTGAGAGAGAGAGAGAGAGACAGAGCATGGGGGGGAGGGGAATACAATCCCAGAGCTTTTAATTCATTTCTAATTCAGGCAACTTTTGACCCCTTCTATCCTATTCCAATTTTTTACGAGATGTTAAAACAGTTAAAACTCAGGAAGATGACATCCTTTACTAAGGTATCAGAATGTAACTCTTCTCTTCAAATTAATGTACTTTAATTAAAATTAAATTTTACACGACTTTATGCAAATTATTTGACTTCTGAACCCCTGAGTTTTTCTCTTCTGAAAACTGGGGATAAGAGAAATAATTAGGGGTTTTTTTGAAGATGGGAAAAGATTATTTACATAAAATGCCCACCACAATGGTACATAGTCTGTACACACAGAGATTATATTCCCTGTACATGCAGCTCTTCCTCTACTTGGCTATAAAATGATCCTATCTGCAGTACTGACTGAACATTTTGAATGTCTGTAGCATCAGAGACCAACTTGATTCTGAAAACAAAACCAGCAGAGCACACGTATGCAGCCATCATTATAGACCCATAAGCAGCAGCCATCAGAAAAAATGCTTCAAACACATTCTTAAAAGCTGACATGTGGAAGAACTACACTGTGCATTTCCCAGTGTCTTCTGGCCAACATTTCTAATGAAAGGAAATTTTTTTCCAGATTCCTTTCTCTGTTTCCTAAACCCAACAGGCAAAAAAAAAAAATTTTTAAAGGATAGGGTGCCTGGGTGGCTCAGCCGGTTGACCGTCTGACTTTGGTCATGATCAGTCAGGTCACGATCTCATGGTCCATGAGTTCAAGCCCCGCGTCAGGCTGTGTGTCGACAGCTCACAGCGTGGAGCCTGCTTCAGATTCTGTGTCTCCCTCTCTCTGCCCCTCCCCAAATCATGCTCTGTCTCTCTCTCTCTCTGTCAAAAATAAACTGTAAAAAAAAAAAAGTTTAATAAAATTTTTTAAATGCTAGGCAGGAGGGAAGGAAGGAAGGGGGACAGAGGGTGGTGACATTTTGGTAGTAGTTCAATGAGAGATCACAACATTAAACTCAAAAGATCATTACGCATAGGTAAAAGGGGGATTTTTTTTTTTCCAGCTAAGTGTCATTATAGAAAAAAAGACCGTGTCACAGTCCTCACTGAGCAAAAGTCAAGAATGCAGACAAATTGTCCAATGGGAAAGATTCTTAACTGACGAGCTGACCAATGCAGCTTAGGTCAAAGGTAAAAGAAGCTAGGTAATTTCTCCAGGGTCCCAAGGAATGAGCGTCTGCATGAACAGGTGACGTGAGAGTTCCTCCATTTTCAGCCTACTGAATCACAAACTCGGCAATGGGTCCTGGGTCTCCCTTATTTCAGAAGTAAGGCCAGGGGCACCTGGGTGGCTTGGTCAGGTAAGCGTCTGACTCTTGGTTTCAGCTGAGGTCATAATCTCACGGTTCATGAGATGAGGCCCCATGTCAGGCTCTGCACTCACAACACAGAGCCTGCTTGGGATTCTCTCTCTCTCTGTATCTCTCTGCTCTTCCTTCCTACATGTGCTCGCTCTTTCTCTCTCTCTCAAAATAAGTAAACATCAAAAAGTAACAGGAAGTAAGGGCAGCATGACTGAGGACCAGTAATAAAACAAACCTAAAACGACCAAAGATACAATCCCTGAAGCAACCTACCAGGTAGGTGATAATTTACCAAGGATTGGGGGATTATATGAAACACAGAGAGTTTTTCAATCAGACAAAAATAGGAGACACAAAATCACACTTTTCAAGTACATGGAAAAACAACTTACTTAGGGTGGGGAATGCAATCAGTGAATATCAGGGGAAAAAAATTAGAAACAAAGGCAGTGATGGCGATAATGCTGCTCATTTGCATAATTTCTCAATTTTCAAGCCCATTTTGGGAAATAAAATCTCAAGAAGTAACAGTCTCACACTAGCTAGGATATTGTTATATTGAATCACAGCTTCTACAGTGATCAGGAGTAATGGCCCTTCAGTTTATTTTAAATAGAGGAAAAGAAACACACATCAAGATCGGTGAACATTGGGAATTTTAAAAGAACCCAATCCTATCTTTATTTTTTAAATGCTACCAATTCTCTTCACTTGTTTTACTGAAGTGTAATATACAAGCAGAAAATGGTCTACGTAAGCGTGGAGATCGATGAACCTTTGTAAACACGTCCACGTAACCCGCATCCGGATTAAATGGAGGAATGCTACCGGATCCCAGACACCATCCCTATAACCTTTCCAGGCACCCATCCTTCCCCGCCCCACCCTTCAACAACGCCTATCCTGAATTCTAACCAGAGGATCCAGCTTCCCTTTTGTTGGTACTTTTTAGAAAAGGAATGGGTTAGTTTGTACCCTTTGTCTCTGGCATCTTCCTTTCAATACTATTGCAAGATTCAGCTACACTGTTGCATATAGTTGTAGATACTCACTCTACCTTTGCTTAACTTCCACTGTTGATGGATGTGTGGGTAGTTTCCACTTTGTGGCTGTTCCAAACAACACAGAGATGGCACGTTCTGATACGTATGTTTTGGTGAACGTATGTCAGGTATATATACTTAGGGATAGCCGGCATTTTAAATCAACCTGGTCCCAAGCACACACAGTATGTATTTCAGATGCATTCTGTTCATTTTGTAAAATGCCGATAATTGGCAAAGCGATCATTTACCTCATGTGACTACTTCTGACACCGTAACCGCCACCTGAAGGGGGAGTCATCCTCTGCCCTGTGCTTCAATATAATTTAATCACTGCCCCTATCAGGAGCTGATCACACACTGTAACTTAGTTCTCACACGTTTTTCCTAGTCCCAGAAAAGCAGGGGTGAAATCCAACATGATCCTGTAAGCCCAGCACGTCCACTACCCTCAGGGTTTTGTGAAGGAACACATTCTCTAGATGGATAAATAAAAACATGCAAACCAGGTTAGCACTTACCTCGGTTTCTTTCATTAACAAGTTGAGTTCAGAAATTTGACTCTTCACCTGGCTCTCCTTGCCAATAAGGTAATCAATATCCTTTGAAAGCTTTTCCTGTTAGAGCATATCAGAAACACAAATAAACAGAAGCAGGAGTTTAAACAAAGGCCTCACAGGTTTTTCCTGCTTTTATTTATTTATTTTTTTCACACAATACCCATCTTCTTCTTTAGCCTATGATGAGAACTGGAGACTGTCATTATATATATATATATATTTTTTTTTTTTTTTTTTTTTTAACGTTTATCTATTCTCGAGAGAGAGAGAGAGAGAGGGGGAGTGAGGGGCAGGAAGAGAGGGAGACACAGAATCTGAGGCAGGCTCCAGGCTCTGAGCTGTCAGCACAGAGCCTGACACAGGGTTTGAACTCATGAACTGTGAGATCATGACCTGAGCCAAAGTCAGATGCCTGACCGACTGAGCCACCCAGGCGCCCCTGGAGACTGTCATTATTAACTCGGAGTAAACAGTTACTGGCTTTGAACACTGAGGTCCAAGGACATAGGAGACATTAGAAGCAGGCTGGACAAGAGAACAAGGCAGTGATGCTCAGACTGGTATTCAAAAACCTGGAATATACATATATATATATATAATACATTTTTGTTGTCTCCTCATCGCTCCCAAAGGTCTTCCTCCTCAGGCTTCTGAGTAAATGGAAGAATAGCAAACAGGAGTGTGTCCTCCATCAGATTTTATAATTCATTCCCTCGCGCTCTCGTTCTCTCTCTCTCTCTCTCACACACACACACACACACACACACACACACACACACACACGACCCAAACAGCAACAAAGACCCTTCTAAAATAAACTTCACAGCCTAGCCCAGGTGAGCTATTCATTATATAATTACACATACGCGAAAATGAAAATAGAGACGTATAAGAATAGAGCTCATTAGGGACACCTGGGTGGTTCAGTCAGTAAGTGTCCAACTTCGGCTCAGGTCATGATCTCACAGTTCATGGGTTCGAGCCTTGTGTCAGGCTCTGTGCTGACAGCTTGGAGCCTGGAGCCTGCTTCAGATTCTGTGTCTCCCTCTCTCTCTGCCCCTCCCCCTCTCACACTCTAGGTCTCTCTCTCTCTCTCTCTCTCAGAAAAAAACAGTAAAAACAAAATTTTTTTAAATAGAGCTCATTAAGCTACCAGAGCTCATTAAAGAACTTCTTTATAAAGGAGTGATTCTGAAATTAGCATGCTTATTGCAGAGAGAATATAATAGGTGTTGGTGAGAGCCCTCATTTAGCCCAGAAAAAATAACACGTAATATGACTGAAGTATATTAAAACACAAACAAAAAAGCCTTGAGGCACCATGGGGTTCAAAGTTATGAGAGACAAGTGTACTCAGAGTCTAAATATGCATAAGAATATCCTGAGCTGTGGCCCTAACGAGAGGATCTGAGGATTTCTCAGTCACTGCTGCTGACCTGCGGGGCTCAACAAGGAACAATTCCAGGAGCTAACTCGAGGCTGGGAGAGCCCTGTGCCTCACCAGCCAAACTAAACAAGCAAAAAACAAATTTAAAAACCCTCAACATTCATGGGGCATCCAGAAGAGTAAACCACGTAAGGTTTTGCTTCAACAGTCTGGTAAAACTAGTCCCAGATCTAACTGCCGGCAACCGAAGCTTAAAAGCAAGTCAAAGAAGGAGCAAACTGTGTCGAAGTAACTTACACGCCAGAAGAAAACTCAAGAACATCTGGAGGATACAGATACAGTGCTCAACGAGGTAAAATTTACAATACCATACAAATCACACTGAAAAGAAAAATCAGCCACAACTGAGCTTGTGAGGTGCCTGGGTGACCCAGTGGCTTAAGCGTCTGACTCTCGGTTTTGGCTCGGGTCCTAATCTCAAGGTTTGTGAGTTCGAGTCCCACATCGGGCTCTGCACTGACAAGAGCAGAGCCTGCTTGGGATTCTCTCTCTCTCTCTCTCTCTCTCTCCCTCTCTCTCCCTCTCTCTCTGTGCCCCTCCCCATCAGTACCACAAAGAACTACCTGGTTAAAAACACTAACAACCTAATATTAGTAGAACACTGAGTGACTCTTTACATTGTTAACTCATTTCAAACAAGACCACAAAGGAAGCTAGGATCTTATGAAGACAAAGCTAAAGGCACAAAGTAAAACAAAGTTATAAAGACCCAGAATCGAGTTCCAAAACCACACAAATCCTACCTTTAAGGTCTTGTAGGCACTGCTCATAGTGGTTACTCGGTGATTGGAATGATTGCCACCCAGCTTACAGAGGTGACAAACCGGTCTCCGACACAACTCACAGTACATGTTAATTCTCTCAGTTTCATGTTCTGGGCACATTAAAATCTACGGAGTGAAGAACCAAAGTGCAATTAAGGGTCAGCAGAGTTTGCCGGATACTCACAAAGTCCCTAAGGTACAAAGACGCGCTTTACAAAATCACCAAATAAAGCCAGTGAAATACATAAAAGTGTAAAAAGAAGCAGCGTAAAAGCATTTGGTATGTCATATGAAAATTTTCTGTATTACAATTACTATTTTTCAGTTTGAGAGTTCAAATGGTCAGTTAAATATATAGATGTTATCGCCCTTAAACTTGGTGGCAAGAATATGAAAATTTCATTCCTATCAGACTTGCATGCTTAACCAGGCCAGAAAGGCCCTCTGGCCACACTGGAGTAGGCAATTCTTAAGGACCATGACCCATATTTTTGTAAGGTCCAACAGCAAATGGCTGATGGGAACCCATGGCTTCACCATCCTCATAAGCAATCTGCACCTGGCTGACTCAGTCGGTGGAGCAGGTGACTCCTGATCTCAGGAGTTGTGGGTTCAAGCCCCACGTTGGGTGTAGACTACTTAAAAATAAAAACTTAAAAAAAAAAAAAAAAAAGGACAGGGCGCTTGGGTAGCTCAGTCAGTTGGGTGTCCAACTTCAGCTCAGGTCATGATCTCACACATTGTGAGTTTAAGCCCCACGTCGGGTTCTGTGCTGACAGCTCAGAGCCCGGAGCCTGTTTCAGATTCTGTGTCTCCCTCTCTCTCTGCCCCTCCCCCATTCATACTCTGTGTCTCTCTCTCAAAAATAAACATTTAGGGGCGCCTGGGTGGCGTAGTCGGTTAAGCATCCAACTTCAGCCAGGTCACGATCTTGCGGTCCGTGAGTTCGAGCCCCGTGTCAGGCTCTGGGCTGATGGCTCAGAGCCTGGAGCCTGTTTCCGATTCTGTGTCTCCCTTTCTCACTGCCCCTCCCCCGTTCATGCTCTGTCTCTCTCTGTCCCAAAAATAAATAAATGTTGAAAAAAAATAATAAAAAAATAAACATTTAATTAATTAAAAAAAGAAAGAAAGAAAAAGAAATCTGTTACTGAGGAGTCTTAGAACACTTTATGATACGAGCCTCCAGATATTTGCTTTTACATATTAATCATGCACACAATTACCAAACTTAGAATTGTTTTTTTGTTTTATTTTAAGATGTAAGCTTCTACCTTCTTTTTTACTCTGAAAACTATCATCATAGGTATGTCTGAAACTGTACATGAGATAACTGGGTTCATTTGCAAGAAAGCAGAGATTCCTTTAGACTAGTGTGTCAATGAAATTAAACAGTTATGGGGGGCTCTGACAGTTCAGATTTTGTGCCACTACAACTGGTTTGGTAACACTGAGACAAAAAGTAACATCCAATATGAAAAGTCTTGATACTAATGTGCAGGTCCAGGAGAAAAATAGAGGAAAAAAATTCAAATTCTTCAGCAGGTCCGACTGCCTACATTCTCAAAGCCATTACATGTATTTATTTAATCATTATCTTAGTTCCAGCATAGTTAGCATACAGCGTTATATTACTTTTCAGAGCCATTACATTTATTATTTGTATCTTTTAAATATGTTTCTTTTTTTTTTTTTTTAACGTTTATGACCTGAGCTGAAGTCAGACTCTTAACCGACTGAGCCACCCAGGCACCCCTAAATATGTTTCTTAAGTAATCCCAATGTAGGGCTCGAACCTACAACCCCAAGATCAAGAGTCGCACGCTCTACTGTCTGAGCCAGCCAGGGCCCCCAAAAGCCATCACCTTTAAGATAAGTTATATAATTTGGCTTTCTGCAAGGAATGATGACAAGAACTCAAAGTTACTGGCAAATACTTTACCTTCGTAAAATTTTTGTAAAATTTGTAAAATTTCGCTATATTGAGGAACACTAATGACTTGAAGGGAAATAGTTTCTTCCTCAATATAACTTACCCCTATATCTTCAGCTTCTTTCTTACCAACCTTTCATTATATTTGTAAACAGAATTAAGTCTGCAATACTCTGAAAATGTTACTCAAGATTTCATGAGTTTGTAAGTCATAAAAACCCAAACCTAATAGAATTCATTTAATAATCAGGTTCTTTCATAATGGAACAGTATTAATCAACTTAATTAATCTGTGTTTAATTAAAACACAAAGCTTATGGCATGCATATGTATATATGTGTACATATATAATTTTTTAAGTAGGCTCCATGCCCACTGTAGGGCTTGAACTCATGACCCCAAGATCCAGAGTCATGTGCTCTACCAATAGAGCCGCCAGGCATCCCTGAAGACATGAATTTTTCTAAAAGTATACAACCTGGAGCACTTAAAATGAAATAAGGAACATAACAGGGGGTTAAAAATCATTGGATAAATCTATTGCCACAATGACATAGTTTGAAAAACAAGCACAGAAGTTTAAAAAGCATACAAGCACAGACTGTTTTTGTTTTAATCTACCAGCCCTGCACTTAATAGGATGTAAGAGGGGGCGCCCGGTTAGCTCAGTCAGTAGAGCACGTGACTTAGGATCTTGGGAGTCCTGAGTTCAAGCCCCACACTAGGTGTAGAACTTACTTTAAAAAAAAAAAAAAAAACGATGGGAGCACCTAGGTGGTTTGGTCAGTTAAGCATCAGACTGTGGCTAGGTCATGATCTCATGGTTCATGAGCTCGAGCCCTGCGTCAGGCATTGTGCTGACAGCTTGGAGCCTGGAGCCTGCTTTGGATTCTGTGCACCCCCACCTTCCTCTCTCTCTGCCCCTCCCCCATTCCCTCCCTCCCTCCCTCTCTGTGCCCCCACCTTTCTGTCTCTAAAACAAAACAAAACAAAACAAAACAAAACAAAACAAAAGAAAACAAATGATGGGGGCACCCGGCTGGCTCAGTCAGTTAAGCTAGTCTGACTTCAGCTCAGGTCATGATCTCCTGGTTCGTGGGTTCGAGCCCTACATCAGGCTTTCTGCTGTCAGCAGAGCCCGCTTCGGATCCTCTGTTTCCTGCTCGTGCACACACACTCTCTCTCAAAAATAAATAAACATTTTTAAAAAAATGATACAACAAATACTCAGCTCATAGTTTCAAGATAACTTTGGGGATTTTTTTTTCCATTTTTTTATTACAAATTAAAGAGAAAAGTTTTGGGCTCAAGAATGCAAATAAATTTTCATACACAAGTTACTAAGCTGTAATGAATAAGAACTTTAACCAAAAGAATCAACTAGTTTTTCTAAATCTGCATAAATCAGAAAGCAGTATTAGTGAGGCTATCCAAACATTCTTGTCAGTCACAAAGCAGGGCAAACAACAATGCATAAAGTTCTTTTGAGCATGACCATAGAAATTACCCAGAAAGGTTAAGAAATATGACTTCCACTTCAGATATTACATTAACATTATACCACAAGCTTCAAAATATTAGGCTGTACTTACTCTTACTTACTTAGAGCACAACTGTAGCTAACTAAAAATGTCAAAATGTTTCCCAATCAAAATCTTTTACACAAGTGTGACCCTAACACATTAAAGCACAAAGCTTTTTAACTTGATAATCATTTCAATCTTGGAGAGAACTCAACCTTTCCCCTATTTGCAGAGCTTTCGTTAAGAACCTTCACCTTCGTGCATCGTGCTGCATTACACTGTTGTAACCCGGTGAACCAGAATATTGCCTTTAGGCTGCGGGGATGTTTAACAACAGACTAAATTAACTCCAAACACCAGGCCTTGGTTTCTGGTACAGGCTTTTTTTTTTTATGTGCTCATTTTAACATACACGTTTCTACGTGCATGTACCATCCATTTTACCTACGGATTTATTTTGAAATAAGCTCTATGCCCAACTCGTCGCTTGAACTCTATCTAGATCCCGAGATCAGGAGTCACACGCTCCACTGACTGAGCCAGCCAGGTGCCCTGCACCCCACCCCCCATACAGGCTTTTCAAGTTATTTCCATTCTTGCTGTCAAGTTCTTTTTTTTTTTTTTAATGTTTATTTATTTTGACAGAGAGAAAGAGAGTGCACAAGCAGGGTAGGGGCAGAGAAAGAGAGAAAATCCCAAGCAGGCTCTGCACTGTCATTGCAGAGCCTGACGGGGCTCAAACTCAAGAACCATGAGATCATGACCTGAGCCGAAATCAAGAGTTGGACACTGAATTGACTGAGCCACCCAGGCGTCCCTTCCTGTCAAGTTCTAGTCTTGTAATAATTCCTTTTGTAATACCGATATTCTAACTAAATCAGAACTTCTCTTACCTTGGGCCTGAAATTCGTGGTTGGGCCCACGTACTCATGCTGAGCTTTCACGGTACCCCACGGGTGGTAAATTTTGAAGCACTCATTGCAATAGCTCGCGCTACAGTCCATGCAACTTTTTGTGGACTCCTGCGGTGGGGGTTTGCAGAGGTCACACATGATGGCCGTGGCTGCCCTGGCTGCCTGCCGGTACCTCTCGACAATGGTCTCCAAAGTGAAATTGCGAAACAGACCATTGATTCCTCGTTCTCCAAGATCCACGTCATGCTCACAGCCAGGGCAAGGAAAAGTGGTGGTCCTAGGGGTCAGGGAGCTGCGCTTCCAGCCTGTGTAATTGGAAGTCCTTGTTTAGTTACGGCAGTAGGAAAACCAACAGAATGAAGACAAAAGAAGAGAGATTTTGGAAAGAGAAATCTACAAATATATACCCACTCCCAAACTAATACTCAAAGTGGCTCCGCTTGAATTGGTCTGTTTTCTGAAAATGCTTCACGCTTGTTTTTCCTTGGTATGCAAAAGACAAGCCCAAATTGTTAAATAGGTATTAAATCAAAGCAGAAAGGAAAACCCTCTATAGTAAACCCCACACAAAACCACATCAAATCAAACAGATATAAGGAAAAAACATGTAATACAATACTACACGGGGTCAGGATTTTTTTGAAATCATATAATTATACATAATGACTTTTATATGTCACCTCCAAAGTAATTTTGCTTTCATTTAAATGAAGACAGCCTTGGCTGATGACTAGGAAATGAGTTCAGACATAAATGAACAAGAGTCCCTAACCAGTGCTCCATGGATAGGCTCCAGAAGGATCCAAATCGTCTGGCAAACTCTTCGAAATTGTACGCAAGATTTTGCATCAATATACCTATGCTTATTTTCTGGTTCAACAATCCATAGCTATGATCAGATTCTCAGACATACGTAACCACAAAATGGTTAAGGACCACTGCAAAAGAGAGTTTCCCACGGTAGTATTGTTTTATCTGGGTAGGCAAAATCATTAGTTAATGGAGTGCAATCTATAAAAGAGTGAAAAGCCCATCCATAGACCTAGAATCTAGTGACTTTAAGAGAGACCAACCATTTAGAATCTTCTTATGACCTGAAAAAAAGAATCATTAAAATTACTTAACTCGTTAAGCCAAAAGCTACCCAAAAAGTATTACAAATAACTTTCCAATCTATACATAGTACACTGAATGACCTTAAATAGCATGCTTTGGTTCAATATTATCTGGATTTTAACAAATCAAGAAACCAAGACACGACCGTCCTTACCCACAGGTTCACAAGAATCCAGGGGTTGTCTCTTTAACACAGGTGTATGCATGCCATTAATTCCCCGCTCTCATTTATAAATCTACCCTTAGAGTACGTAGTCTTGCTTGCCCACAAAATTACCTACATATAAACACAAACTCCTTAACCTACAGCCTTCCTTCACTCTGCCGTGTATCCAGTATGGAAAATGAATGGTGCAACTCAGTAGATCCCATTTAGAAAAGGTCTTTCTACAGCTACATTAATAATGTCTTGGCATATTTATTCTCCACTGGAAGTGACTTTACAACATGCTAAGAGTACACTGGGTCCCAAAAACTACTTACTTAACAAACATGCAGAATACTTGTATTATCTTCTTTTAAGGATATTTTAACCTTTACGTTTCTAAACATACAAAAAAACCACATACCAAAAAAAAAAAAAAGTTTCCCCATAACAGTTTGAAAAGTCTATTTAAAGTATATTCTAATAATTCTCAAAACATGCAACACAGTCCAAGCGAGATATTTCACAACACAGCAGGCACAGAACGAAATAAGCAGCAAAGCCACTTTTAAGACACATGCCAATGAAAAATCTCAGTCAGTGAAACAAAACAAGCCACATAATTTTGGAAGTGATCTAGTGCAGTGGTCAAGTTGAAAGTAATGGAAAGTCACATTTAACTGCATGCTTCCACATGTGAACCAGGTGACAGAAATTAAAATGGAGAATCCCAACAGACAATGTTTAACAAAAATGGGTTATTTATCACTGGTTTTATGAATTGAAGGTTGCTATCAGTTTAAGTGACAGGACCAAACCAAATTAAATCACGACAACAAAGTCATGCTTTAACCTGTATACTGGTGACACCCAGATTGTGGTCTTCAAGTTCAGAAATTTCAAAAAAGATGTTGTGTCCCTTTTCTGTAAACCTCTTTTAACTTTTAACAAAAATAAGGTATCAAGCATCACACTAATTTTCATAAATCAGGCAAAATATTAAATCAATAAATCTTAGCTGTTTTCCTAACAGATCTTTAAAAAATTCTCATATTTTTTGGCAAATGAGAAGACATTTATCTTTTATTTCATCTGTCATGGACTTCTACCACTGTTTTCAAAAACAAACAATAGAACATATGTTTGGGGCAACAAAGAAACAGAACACATCTAAAGATATTCTGGGAAGTAAATCTAGTGGAAAAAAAAAATCAAGACAGGGGAACTAAGAATAAAATGTAAGAGAGTCAACTTTTTCCTCTCTAGAACTGTGCTGTCTACCATAGTAATAATTTAGCCAAATATCACTATTTAAATTTAAATCAAAGATTCAGTTTCTAGGGCACCTGGGTGGCTCAGTCAGTTAAGTGTCTGCCTTCAGCTCAGGTCATGATCTTGCAGTTCGAGCCCCTATCAGGCTCTGTGCTGACAGCTAAGAGCCTGGAGCCTGCTTCGGATTCTGTGTCTCCCTCTCTCTCTGCCCCTCCCCCACTCCCTCCCTCCCTCTCTCTCTCTCAAATAAACACTAAAAAAAAAAAAATTCAGTTCTTCGGCTGCACTAGCCACATTTCAAATTCTCAAGAGCCACATGTGACTGCTGGCTCCCATACTGTACAGAGCTGGGTCAAACAAACATTCGCTTGAACTTAGAATGTTCCATTGGATAATACTCCTCAACAGCATGACTTAATGAAAAAGAAAAAGTAATGATGGCTTTGAAAGGTAAGAAAGCAATGCAGGCCAAGCAATGCAATTATATATGTCGAACTGTATTTATGGGGCCAATCGTTCAGGATTATGTGAACACTGTCACTTTGCAGAATCCATTCTTTTCCCCGTATACCTTTATTTCAAAAACATATTAAATGAGTATGAATCATGACACAGTTTTAAAATGAAGACTCCAAAAAAATGTCTTCAAATTGATTTAGAGCAAATCTTCCCCCAAAATCAGCTTTTGGTCACTATGATTTCTCATTTAAACATCAAAGAGAAAATGAAGTATTTCAAACCCGAGTCGATTTCATGACAGGTTCAAACCTCTGCGAGCTGCATCCTGTCCCATATTCTGGCTACAGACAACTTCCCCACTGTTACCTGCTAGCCAGGTAGTGGACCACCTCCCACTATCCCGCTGGACTTCTATGCTTGAAAATGGGCTGACGGATGGTACCGCCACCTTAATGTTTCTTGTAGCACATTGTAACCAATCTGACGGCCAGGCGTTACCATTACCCTTTGAGTATTATGGACACTTTCCACCTGCAGAATCTTTTTCTCAATGGCTGCCTGGGTAAAAAACAGGAAGTAAGCAGTGAACTTTTTTTAAACAAACTGCTCCTACCTTTCCTCCTATTTACTAAATCTCAAAATGCTTAAAATTCTCGGGGACTCACTAACGCCTGTAAGAGAAAGGATTACATGTGGCTTTTAGAAGTAACGAGAAGGTCTGTAAATGGAGGCATGCAGACAGGAAGGTAAGGAAGACAGAAAAGGGATAACATTCCAGATGTTTATTTTCTCCAATAAGATATATGGTATCACCAGCATTCTATAAGAAAAGTAGCCAATTTTACTTTAAAGGTCAACTGGAATAAAAACACGTGTTTTTTAATAAGGTAGGTTGGCCTGTCTTTCATTCGGAGTCAGATACTTTGGAAAGCCTAAAAAAGCAGTTTATGTTATTTACCCACAAGTGGGTAAGACCTCAATGTTAAAACTCAAATACTTTGAAACATTAATAAAGGAAAGGCACCATAGGCATAAAACAAGCTAAGCCTATATAATTAAGTCCAAAAAAAATTACCGATACCTTTAAGCAAATTTTTAAATACAAAAAGCACTGGCTGATTTAAGATCTTCACGGTAGCAACATGGCCGTGAATACAAGCTTTGTTCCACTAACCAAACTACACGTAAAGGATTTTTAAGGTGATCCGCAAGAGTACGTCATTTTCTTCAAAAGTATCTTGTCACGCGGATTGACAAAACGGAAGCGCTAATCATCAGTGCTCCCTTTAAAAACAGCAGACCTCGCGTGGAAATTTAGTCCTGTTGACCTTTAAGTCACTCAGCCCAAATGTGTTCACGTTCTACAGAATTTTGAACACTTGACCACTGATGTTTAACAACTTTACGTATACACGGTTACGCAATTTAAATCTAACACTATACTGCCTGCGGCCACACAAGCAATAAAAGCATTTTCTACCTCTCCACCCCAAAGATCTCCGTTGTGATGCTGTGAACAATGAACAGAAAGCTGGATTTAGGATTTAATTTCAAAGAGAAGATTCACAACTTGTTGACAAAAGATAAAGCAGCAACTGTGTCCTGCACATAACACAATTCTTGAATTAACACTAAGAAAATGTGTTTCTCCTTGGCACACGTGGTATTTATGAAACCATCATTGTAAAAACATTCATCAGGCTGATCCTGGAGCCCAGAATTAAATCATTGTTGGTGCAACACTTAAGAGGCCTAAACTTTATCTTATAGATTTGCGTTTTTAAGCAATCATATTTCTGGTAACTGTTGAAAATACACAGCAATATCAAGCATCCTTTGTTTGATTTTTTTTTTAACCGATGTATTATCAACACTGCATATAAACATTGTTAAAGCGGATTTTATCCTCCTGACAAAAGGAAATACAAAATGCAGGAAAAGCCTTGCATACGTGTGACCCAAAATGTAGAGTAAAATGGCTATTTTTATATCACTGAATGTGTTACTGTGTTATACACACAAACCTTACTCTCCTTTCAGGGCACCCTTTTAAAAATCTGTCCAATCTCCAATGCAACAATATCCAAAAGGGATATGTGAGCCCAAAAGCATCAGCCACATATGCCATTTTAAATGTTCTAGTGGCCAGATTAAAAAGAAACAAATGAAATTAATTTTAATCATACATGCTATTTATTTCACCCAATATATCCAAAATACTATCCCATCAAAATGCAAACAGAGATAAAAATCATTAGAGACATTTTTATATCTTTTTTCATTCTAAGTGTGTGACATTCAGAGCATATTTTATACTTCCAGTAATCTCAGTTCCAGCTGGCACATTTCAAGTGCTCAATAGCCACATGTGGCTCATGGCTACTACACAGGACAGTACTGGTCTAATTAATCCCTTTGGCAAACCTAGAGCAAAACCAATTTTTAGAAATCTGCTCCTCCCACACCAATTGCTCAGAATAGGATTTCCTCCCCGAGTATGTCCAAATGATGAAAACCTTTTTAAAAATCTGCCAGAAAGGAAAGGGGGGGGGGTGCATTACTTCCCTATAAATTTCTCTTTCAATCTCTCCGAAGAGAAATTAGAGCCAAAGGCTCCATAAGTGGAGGGTAGCATTATATTTGTGATACAGTAACTTCTATTAATTTAAAACTGGTATCATGAAAAGGAGGACAATCCTAAAATCTGCATTCATTTGAGAAGTGACTACTATACTTGGAGCCTCCCCACCCTGAGTTCTTCATCTGTATTTGTTAATTTGCTCTGTACGCTCTTCTTGATGGAGGACTGTGTTCTCCATGTGTACATGAAGACTCTGTACAATGCTGGACTATATGCTTCTTAAAAAGGAGCGGTGGATCTATCTTGTTCATGCCTCTTCAGCATTGGGCCATGTCTGGCAACCAGCAGGTAAATTAAGTATTTGTTGAGCGAATGAATGAAATGCAGAAGTTCTCTGTACTGGCTGCTCATGTACAATGGGCTCGACCCAGAACCCAAGGCAGAAATCCCCTCTACAGGGAGTCAAATGGTGGTCACACAACCAGTGTTTAAAATAAAGACTCCAGGGGCACCTGGGTGGCTCAGTCGGTTAAGCATCCAGCTTCGGCTGAGGTCATGATCTCGTGGTTCATGAGTTTGAGCCCCACGTTGGGCTCTGTGCTGATGGCTCAGAGCCTGGAGTCTGCTTTGGATTCTGTTTCCCTCTCTCTCTGCCCCTCCCCCACCCATGCATGCTCTCTCGCTCTCTCAATAATAAATAAACATCAAAAATAAAAAAATAAAAAAGACTCCAAATACTGATGGCCCAAACACTGGATGGGTCACAGTCAAAGATGTGTTTTGGCTGCCCTATGCTGTTGAGTTGGCGTGGTTTTTAAATGATTTGAATTAACTACCCACATGTAAAAGATCACATGTCAAACCCACCATCAGGCTCTTGTGCGGGGGGAGGGGGAATGTCTGGCACCCCCAAACCCACTAGTGCCAAGTGGCTACTGCCCCATTAGACAAGGCGTCCATTCTAGTCTACGGTCCGGAACCATGCGCCACTGTCTCTAACAGAGGAGGCCTGGAAGACAGCTGGCTGCTGATACCTAGGCTGCTGGTTTTCCTATGGTAGCTGAGTTAACGGGAAAATGAAATCTCGTCTATCTCCATATCAAGTAAGATGAAAGGCGTTCCTGTATTTATTATGCCGGGGGCCTGCCTCGCTAATGTGTTTACTGGGCCCTGCAGCATCTAAACCTGATCTCTTCCAGTGACAGGGATCTGACAATCTCATTTTGGGAAAGCCTGTGGGGTGTGTTTTCTTACGCACCGAGCTGAAATCTGCATTCCTCTTTCACCATTCACTGATCGGGAACCTCTGTGTGAAGATCCCCAGCTTACTGTTCTCTTCGGCAAGACCACCATCATATCCTGCGCTCTCCCCCTCTCCAAGTTAAATACTCTGACTTCCTGTAATTGCTCCTCCCAGAAGAGTTTTCTCGCTTCCCCCCCTTGGGACATGATCCAAACTGTAAGTTCTTCCTAAAGAGGGAGGAACATGTCACTAAGTCTATTTCTCATCTGGACACCATCAAGTATGATGGAATGGATCTCTTGTTCTGGACAAAAACACCACTATTATAGAATAAAAGCCACTATGGCATGCTTTGTAGAAATCCCACAACATTCAACAACCACTCCACAAGTATTTATTAAACATCCACCAAGTACTGTCAGATGAGCTCTTAAAAACAGCCATATCTCATCTTGCTAGACACATACTTCATCTGTATTTCATTCATTCTCCATATGAATCACACATAAAAACCAACCAAGGACTAAGATTAAAAACCCGCAACAGATACAGGATTTCGTAAAATATGTACATAAGTTCAATCTAATTACAGAAATATTAGTACGTGACTAAAATTCCTCTGAATGTTAAGTACTAATATTTAATAAATACCTGCTATATATTAATATACAAAAAGTGAATCTCTCTTGGTCGGTAAGGGATCCCTAATTAGCCAGGGAGGATCTACCAACAGAATATCTTCACTTTATCTGGTAGGGGATTTCAAGCTATTGAAATGTCTCTCCTCCCTCCTCCGTGTGACAGCTAGCTCCTAGCAGGGAAGGAAATATACAAGTGATGACTTCACAATAGGCAGGACCCTCTCTGACCTCACACTCCCTACATCCCCACCTACTTCATGCTCCTCTTTTTATATAGGCTTCTAATTTTTTTATGTGTGCAAAATAATCTTCCGAGAAATTCGTGATTACCATTTAAAGTAAAATACATGTTTTTAAAACAGCCTAATACGACTCTTAGAACAAATCCCCTCTTATCCAGTGTCTGATGGAGCACAAGGACACCAACATTGCTCTAAGAGATTCCCCATCACGGTGTGGACCAAAAGGGACAGCATTTGCTAAATGCAAGTAAGGAGGAGGAGACTCTCTTCCGATATGTTTTTTTTAACACATAAGATTAAAAAATTATTCCTACACTATAAGAGGGAGAAATAAACACAGTGGCCTAAAGGATCAAAACTAAAACCTCGAAGTCCAACAGTCTGGTGCCCAGAGCCACTCAAGGACTCTCTTCCAAACAAAGGGCGAACCTAACGTGACACTGCGGTATTTCTACCCAAAGCTCTGCCTCCCCTTGGTCTTTCCTCACTGCTGATTTTGGCCCTGAAATTCTCAGTGGCCCTGTTCCCAATGATTTCAAATTAGTTTTGATCTACCTTAATCCTGCAATGGATGTCCAGAAGAAAGCAACACCATCCCAAAGGGAAACAATTGACACTCTGGCTGCATAGTAAGAGCTCTGGCTGTATAGACAGATGTGCCACACATCTAGATCTACTTCTGCCATTACGACAGAGTTCCGCCACTATTTAGTTGATATTCAAAATTCTTCTTCTAAAACATGGACTAAAAATGGCTGAAGAAAACACAATCCTCAGGTAGAACAAAACGATACCAAATAACCCATCTAAAAAGTCTTTTAGGAGTAGTCACTGTGGAGTCTCATCCTTTAATCGGCATATTTATTTACATATTACCAGAGACAGATGTTTCCCTAGTAAGTACTTCTGTGGTCCATTACTCCATCCCTCATATAAAGGACACCACAGGGTCAGAACATCCCCTAAATACAGTTAATGAGGGGTCTAACACAAAGCTGGTGTTCAATCCCCGACTTTTAGTGTGTACCAGGACAGTGAGGAGTTCATCTTGATATTTTCAAAGAGGGAACGGTTCCTTTACAACTAATTTTAATTAATTCACCTGGAAAGATCAACCCTCAAAGCGGCAACAGTAACTTCCCTTCCATAGACACAGCGGAAACTCCCAGACCCCAAGCTCCTGGCACGTACCTGGTCTGCTAATTCTGTCAATTTTGTCCATGCTAGGAGAGGGGAGCCGGAGTCGAGGACTGCTCTGATTGGAATTGTCCGATCCCACATCGTTGAAGGAATCGTCGAGTGTCAGCAAGAGTTCTTTTACACACTTATGACAGATACTGTGTTGACAAGGGAGAATCAACGGATGGGTAAAAAGCTCCTTGCATGCGGGGCAAATGAGCTCTCTTTCGATATTCTTAATGGTAACCTGGAGTTGAGGAAAAGAAATCAGAATCAAAATAAATGCCTGGACCCCATTAAACATGTGTGTTCACCCTTTCAAAAGAATTAAGAATTCAGAACTAAGAATTTAATCTGAAGTCCCTTTTTGGCAACAGAATTCCGTACCATCAACCCTCACCCCCCACCTCCTAGAACAGAAGGGACACTTGACATGGTTAAAACTGAAGTATGAGAAAAATCAGCACAAAATATGAGGGGCCCATAATATTTCATCTGTTATGAAGTTACTCAAATCATCATGAATTCACTGATTTAGGACATCTGAGAAATCCTACAAGTAGATCACTACAGTAAAAGGGAAGAACATGGCATACTGAGAAGGAAACCATGTTCCTCCTGGGCACACTAACTCTGTGGCAAATAACAGGAGCCGGTGGAAGCTTCCTTGAAATCTATTTAGGAGCTGTACCATCAGCAATTTTCTACATTAAATGTGACCAATTTTCATAGGCTGCAACTATAATGTAGCTAAAATGCTTCATCTCCTGGCGTTGGGTATCGAAGTGGTTCTCTTAAAAGCACTTTATGAATATTGAAAGGGTGGGGAGGACTACAAAGCACCATTATTTAAGTGCTCTCCATACTACAGGCGTGCATTATTTTCCACGAGAAACACGGAGTCTCAAAGGTTAGATGACCTCATACCAGTTTTCGCAACCTTTCATATGTAGTTCCTGCGCCCGCGCGCGCGCGCGCGCACACACACGCGCGCGCACACACACACACACCCCCCTCCCAAACTGCAGGTGCTATGAATCTATATTCAGCCTCCCTGCCATTTTACAGTCAAATCTGAAAGTACTCCTAGACCTCGTGCAATCATTCCAACTACTGGAAACACACAGAACGTCAACATCGAGTTAATTCATTTAGTTTAACTAAATAAAAACGCATTCCCCCTAAAGCGACACTGAGTGCTTTAACAGTCCGTGACAACAGCACCACATTGAAATGCCTTTATCACCGAGGATGGGTCTTTGAAGTGTTTCTTGCTGCATCATTCAATAAATATTTAATAAAAGCCCACATCATGTCACGATTTTTTCAAACTTGGAAGACAGCCACACTTCATGGCAAAGAAAATAGAATATTCACGTCCTATGTCATTTCACCAAGAACGTGACACCCAACTGAGCGTCCAAAATAGATTCAAAGGGGATTATTCTGAGTGTCCAAAATAGGCTCTCATTTGATGGGGAGGTTTACCTCCCGCTGGAAGATCTAAAATCATTTCCATATTCCTGGTCCATAAAGCGGTACGTAAGCTTTTTACCCACGACAGATACAAGACAATTCTTATCCAAAAGAAAAAATGAGTTTTCCGTTTTTACATCCACCGAGGGAAACACCCTGATTAAGAGACGTGGGATGTGGCGGCTCCCACAATGAAGCTGTCTGAAAATCACTGGGGGTTCGACCGGAAACTAACAAGTTGGAAAGAACTGCCGATCCGACCCTTTCAGACAAAAACACTTTGCACCCCGACAGCTGCCAGGGCAAGCCCGCCCCCCGCGCGCAAGCTGGCGAAGCCGGGGAGGAGCCTCTCCGCGCGCCGCGACCGCGAGCCGGGTGGGCCGCGCCCGCGGGGGTCCGGGCGCCGGCTCCGCGACGCTCCGGGACAAAGGACGGCCCGACACGGGCGGGGCATGCGCCCCGCGCCGCGACGGGCACCCGACTCCTGGAGGCGAATGAAGTCTACAGCCTGGACCCCATTAAAGAGCCCCTCCGGGATTGCCCGAGGTGCTCAGGTGGGCGATCGCCGCACCCGAGCGGCGCCCCCTCGCGGGCCCAGGAGACCCGGGATCCGACCCTCCGAGGCGTAGAAAGGGGGCGCCCCGGATTGCGGAACCCGGGGCGCGGAAGGCGAAGAGGAAGCGGGGCCACCACACGCCCGCCCTCGCTCCTCGTGAGGCGAGGCTCCCTCTGGCTCAGGGCGGAGGAGAGAGACCCGGGGGTCCCGGCGAGCCGCCAGGGAAGCGTGAGGTGGCGGCCCCTGTCGCCCACTCACCAGCGTTTCGGAACCATCCCCTTCCATAGTAGCCTTCTGCCAGGTGTCATC